ACACGTGAAAGGGACGTTGATGAGATTCGAGGGAAAGTGTACAGGCATCAAGCGTCGCAAGTTACAGAAGCTGGGACGCGTATCGAGCGTGAATATTACATCGATCAGGCTTTGACGACGACGCTGGAGGAGGGCCGGGGAGGAGGTTCGAAGAGATCGCTGGTAGGGATGATGTCGCCTATTATCCGGTGAAACACCTGAGCCGCCCCTCGGTTCTCGGTTACACGTCGCTCTCGTGCCTCTGCCCGCCTCGTTCTCGCTGAGAGCCGAGCGTATGAAAAGCAGTCCACGCACTCCACCGCCGGCGGCTGCTTCTGTGTATCGCGGCTAAATTACACGGGCTCCGCGTATTATCCGCTCCTGAATTATTCCCCCGGTAACCGCAAAAATAGCCCCTGCCTCTCTTCCCACGCGTTTCACGGCTACCTCGCGCGCACCCTGTCACCTCGGTACGGTCATCACGGACTCAACCGTATATTCCATGCGGTTACGCGATGGTCGCTCCTGTTGCGCGAAATTTATTTCACTGCCTGCTGCTTATCTACTGCGGTCACAGGAAGATTTAGAATCGCGGTCGCGAGGATTTCGATTTTCATTAATAAATAAGCTTTGGCGCACAGTAAAGCCATTGTAAGTACACAGATTATAGGCTAAATCAAATGACAGATTATCAAGTTTCGAATTATGTACAGGCGTAATCGTTAATAAAAGTCGACGTATTTGAACTTCCAATGGTATGTCAGTTCGTAGCTCACAGGTGAATGTTTGCACGGATGAACGTGTCCTGTCCGAATATGATGGACGTTTTCGGTGGTTGAAGTTCGGATGGAAGTAACGACGCGACGTCCAAACGTTGGATCCCTCGTTCGACGAGAGATGGATCATCCAATTCCCCCGCATACTTACAGAGCTCTAAGCGGCATACGTCTCCCGGTAAAGCCGTCACGATAACGTACGCGCATACGTATGTAAGTAATTATACGATTTAGAACCGTCCGAGTTTCAAAGCTAATTTATTAATAGAAGTGCACACGTCACAAGGGTATGTACCATTGATACGTGCCCGTCGCACGGAACTTAACATCTCCGGTTGCAAGTGGTTTCACGTGTTACATTGACAAGTTCCAGATTAATATTGATAAATCCGGTAACGCGAGCACGAACGACGCGTGGCTACGTGCGCGCGCGCCGCCGCGCCGACCGGACGAAAACTTTAATCATAAAAATTGAACGTGGAAAACGGACAGCTGACCGTTCGTCCCGATGAAAAATATATATCGCTCGAATCTCGTTATATTTTCGCGGCCTGAAATATTTAAAACCTTGACGAACTTCGTGAGACGATCTCTGCCCGAAGGAGTCGCGACACAGTGTTCCCTGAATACTTCACCGAATGATATACTCTAATAATAAGAAAGTATAATACTTAGATTCACCGGTATAAAGAATTGTGTTTCCTGTGAACAGAACGTGTTAGATAAAATTGGAATCACCAGGTGGAAAAGAGAGCCGGAGCAAAAGTTACGCGTATGTGCGTCGGCCTGACCATCAGGTTCTGTTCGATAAAAGATGGATGATCAAACATCGGGCGTACGAGCGATCGGTCTCCGAGCTGACGCTTTCGAAGATGAAATGCACCCTTGGCGACCTCGAGAGCAACCCTAACGCCGTTGCCCCCTTCTGCGCGGCGAGCCCACTCGAGGAGGCATATTTACGAGAGAGGCGCGTGCCCCGCGTTTCGAAGCTACGATCATCCCTCGGACAGGTCCGATTTCGAATACAAATTCCTCCATATGTAACTCGGAAGAACGGTTATTGGTTCAACTATGGGTTATTAGGTCCGATCCTTTCCTGGTGACCGAACGCCTCACGTACCATCGTCAATACGACACGCTGAATAAAATTGTTTCTCATGCAAATGCTTCTGGATTTATCTATGGCGAACGTCAAAAGAATCGTAAGTAAGGCCTGTTCTCATCTGCAAAAGCCCATTTGCAAAAGAGGATTATATAATAGAATTGTTCTACTGTGACTCCAAACATATTCTAAATATTAAAGTATGCAGTTCAACATTGAAGATACATATTGAGCAAAGAAATTTAAGAAAGAAGAAGGAACGAGTGAGTTACTCTCTCGAATAACGTCGCAATAACGGTACCATTCCGAACTTAAGGAGATTTAACGAGGACACAGAGGAAAGTGGGCGAACCGCGGAGATTTATACGGAGGGACGCAAGCGTGCGCGCTCGAAGAGGGCGCGAGGGGCTTCTGGTTTCCTCGCGGGGTTCCGGGGCTACGATGGCCGCCGCGCCATAGAACGGCGGTACATTATTTCTTGATGTCAAATAAAGCAATTAGCATGTGCCCTGACCAGGGTCCACGGGTTCCTAACCCGAGTAATCTCGCCGGGGTCCCCGGCGTGTGCGACATCTTCATCAGAGACGGACCCTCCTCTCCTTTCTCCTCCACTTTCTATCCCATCGTCCCACCACCCCTCACCACCGGACGATACTCTTCGCTCACGTGGCATCTACCCTGCACCCCCCTAGAGACGCGGCCAGGGGTCAGAGGATCTCTCGCTCGGGCCAGCCGAACCGTAAGAGCAGGACAACCTCTCCGCTGGGCGGAATTGCAGCGAAAAGGCGGCGTCCAGCCGGCGCGCCGCGGCGTTGCAACGATCTGCTTTCAAGGGAAATTTCCACAAAGGCTGACCCGCAGCTAATGAATGTTATATAACCCTTTTAGTGCTTTAAGCCTCTTAGATTTTTCAGAGAGCCCTCCACGCGCCTCCTTCGTAGCCGCCTCCGGGACTCGACCGACCAACAGGAGGACTCCGTTCGCTCTCTTTTTTCCTGGGACTCGTGGTGCACCGAAAGTGGCTCGCGAACGCCGCAGGAGAGGAGAAAGCACGAGCGAGGACGGGTAGGGTCGCGCCTCGGGGGTAGGTAATTATGTGGCGGACGTAAATTAAGCTTGTTTAGATTGGGATTTTTATTAAGGTCCTTTATGAAGGAGTGCTGCCGCTAAATGGCGCCGCGAACACTTTAAACCACCCTGAATTCCTTCGAGCGTCGACGGAAGGAGGGGACCGCTGCTTTACGCCCGCGAATGTGGGTGTTTTTTAATTATCCCAATATACGTCACTATACACGTGTATATATTTATACCATTAAAAATATCTATCATATCTATTATAAATAATAAATGATATTTATTTATTTTTTATAATCGCTTGTGTATTCTTGTGGTTGTGTACCCTTGTGGAAAGTATTTAAAATTGTCATGAGGTTAAAAGAAGATAGAAGTTTTATATGGTTTGAATGTTCGTCTGACGATAGGGAGGAAAAAAACGGTCGTAACTAACGATCAGGAAGCGTGTATATAACAACGAAGCAGAATGTACCTAGCGACGTGTACGGAAGAAATAACTAAGGGTTAGTTTAATCGTGCTTTAGGAGTCGAACGTTTTAACCTCTCCGTTGTCCCCCATTTACCGAGAGTAACGACTAGTGCCAGTCGTATAGCTAATGTCCGGTCTCATTGATATGTGATACTGCATAAAAGGCTCTATTAATCGAAATACTTTCGTTGCCTCAGCACTACCTAGATTAAAATGTGGTAAATAAAAGTAATTGGTTAAAGAGCAGCGTTTAATGTTTCAAGCTACTCTCGTTCCTGAACATGTTAATTTCGATCCGCTACTAACGAGAGGCTATTGCAGTATAGCTAACGGCTAACCATCCTGACGGTAAGGTTTGTGTACGAAACTTTGGCAAATCGGGTACAAACTGCTGGCTGTACATACATTGCAAATACGCATGCCTTCGAACCGGAGAACGAACTTTCCAGCAGAAGTTTATTCCGACCGGTCGGTTATCCGGGTGTAAATCAGTGAACGGTACGTCGAAAACGTACTATGATAATAATAAAAAAACATTTGAATCGCCGTGGTCTCGGCAAATGATTTCTTTAAGACGCACGTCGGAGAGTATTGAAAATCGACATTCAACGTTGATAGCTTTCGCCGGGCGAGAAGAGACCGGCCGGCGAAACTCGCGCGTTCGTTCTCTCGATTAGGCTGTGCCGTCATTAAAAGTTTATAAAGAAGCGTAGCTGCCAGCCGAGGCACAGAGAGAAGCAGTGAGGCAGGGTGGCCGGGGGTGAAACGAAGGACAGGGGCGAAGGGATCAACACCCCCGCCTCGTCGAACGGGAGCGGCAAGAAAACGAAGCAGACAGACGCACAGCGCCGCGTCGGAGGGACAGAGATCGTAAGAGATTCCAAGCAAGTTTTCTCATGTGCAATGCATAATGAGGAAAGGCAGACGGCGCATAAAGGGCGTACAAATGAGGCTCGGGTTATACATATACATTCCGGCTAGATACGCGCCCAGCAACGTGCACACGCACACCCTGGTGCAAAATACCCTTCGCGCAATGATGCCCCTCCCCCTCCCCCTACCCATTCTCCGGTCCGGTTATATACACCGCCACTACCGCGACTTTTAAACGCGCAACCGAGTTAAAAAGTTCTCCCTCTGATTTTTGTTATCCCGCGGCAACTTCGGAAACGATGCACTCGTAAAGTTCCCGGTTAATCTCCTGTTAGTGCTGCACTCGCTTTACGGCGCGCGCAACAAGCGCCAGACGATAAGGGATGAATTCTCAAATGCATATTTTTACGATAAAAATTATACTTCGCTTTTCAAAAATCCTTACTTTAACATTATTTAAGGAAGCTGATTGTTGGTAATCAATTTTTATTTGTAATACAAATCGCTCAATACTAACTGAAACAGTAGCTACCGAAAGTAACGAACACGTAATGATCGATGCATGCAGTATGAGAACCGATTAAAGGTGTTGGATCGATCTTCCCTAGTAACTGACTCGCTAACGTCCATGGTCAAACGTGTTGCCAACTTATTAGCATCGAATACAAAGCTAATTTGATATTCAGTAACTTTTAATTCGTTCTCAGACTTGTATAACTGATATTACCTTGTTCATGATTTGGCGGGGATAGTCCCGCCTCGGGAGGGTCGACTCTGTAACAAAAAAGGAACGACACGTTATTTTCGAATTCACTTACACTCGTAACAAATGTTTAAAATTACGCGACTGTGACCCGCGACCTTTGTAAGAAAATTTTTGTAAGAAGTTCATTTCTCTCCTGTGCCTTGTGACGGCAACTAATGCACGTCGGTTCCTGATCGTGCACCCAGCCCCGCATCTTCATCCCCAATCTTCTCTTCTCTTCTACCCCTCAACGGGCACCACCGAATTCCCGTAATCTAATGAATGGCCTAACCCCAATATCCTCTCCGGCTCAGCCTCACCGCCACCTACCCCTTATGTACTTCAGCTGTATGTACCATGCATGTAAATACGTTTCACGAGAGGTTGGTGCGATATCGGCGCGCGCCGAGAGTGTAACGAGTTTCTTTAAAATTAAATTACACTCGACGGTAATTAATCATTTTGACATTATCGACGATCAATTCATCCCCGATGTCCTTCGCATGGCAAAGGGTAGACGAGTGAAAAAGAACACTGAACAATTTCTCCTGTTAATTAATCGGAAATTAGTGAAGAAATAAGATACAAAATAGTTGGGAGGAGAGTGATGGAAGAAAGCAACGAACTTGGAACGGGTCGAGAAGAATAAATTAGCGGAAAGCAAATTGGCGAGCGGCGAAACTTTTCAATGCGCTTCGTTAGGTATAGTGACCCAGCGCGCAACTTGGGGCAACGACTAACCCAACAAACTGTACCAACGCAACGGGAAAAAAAGAGATCGACGGTGAAACGGAGACAATAATGTTGCAGGAGGAGTAAGAAACAAAAGTTACACTTTGGAACGTCTCGCATCGACCCTCATACGTCCACTGTCACATTTAAATCCGGACCGACGGAACAACGGCTAATTACCCGATGCCCGAGCAAGGCGAAGTTCTTTCGTCCAGAACGAGGGACGAGGACAAGGCAGATGAAACCCGGCCATCCCCGGAACAGGGCAAGGAAGCGCAAATGTGTTTATTTTCAGGGAATAATAAAAAGGGTCGTCCAGAGGCAACGGCGGCGTCCGTGACGCACCGTGGCGATCGTACGAAAGTTTGGAATAATGTTTCGGACACGACGTTCGTCTGGCTTTGCCCGGAGAGCTCTGCACCCGTCCACCACCCTCTCCCGATCTCCGGCAGCCTACCCTTATACGCGTGTCCGCCGCAGATTCAGACTCCTAATTAAGACGAGGGTGCGAGAGGGGTTTCAGGGGTTTCTCCCAGGGTTCTCCCCGAAGGGAGGTGGGAGGACGTAGGTGTGAGTAGTAGGAAGGAGGGTTTTCACGAGGTAAGGGGCACCCGTACCGCGCCGGAGGGGTAAGCCAAGGCAAAGGGGGTAAGGAATATTGATCACGGGACCGCCACGGCGGCGAGGCAGGGACTGGCCGTACTCTCCCCCACCCCCTCATCTCTCTCTCTCTCGCGCGCGCGCTCTCGCTCGCTCCTTCTCGTTCTATCGTCCTCTCTATCCCGCTTTATATCGTCTTGCTTCCTGTAAGTGTGTCCTACGCTCTACAACCACGTAACCGACGTCTTTCGGCGTTGCCCTCGGCCTAGCAAGCGGTGCGGACCAAGCCAGTCTAAACCACCAAACGCCAGATGCGTGAAATCAGTCGGTTAGAGGCTGCCCCGCAGCCTTTGCGAATTATTGACGCTGAAACCGCGACCGCGGAGCAGATGATGCCGCGAGAACTGGTTTCGAACGCGGCCCTTCGGGAGTGCCGGCCCATGGTTTGGCGACGCAAGTGGAACGAATACGGCCTGCCAGAAACTGTGACACTATTTTCCCGAATAACGTGGTTGGGCCAACAAAGCTTAAATTAGAGAATCGCATTATTGTTGTCCTCAGATAATGTTAAATAATATACGAGAAATATTACTTCCAGTAAAGTGGAAGAAATTCGACATAAGCAAAATTGGATAATAAATTTTATTAAAGAAGTCGGATTTCGTACCAACTGTACAAAATCAGGCCTAAGATTTCTAAATGATTAACATGCAAGTGGAGTAACTCAAGCGAAAATGGCTTCGTTCCCGCACGACGCTTTAATGTACAAGACGAAAGAGAGAGAGAGTGAGAGAGAGAAACAGGGCTGTCGGATGAAAGTTCCTCTCCCCCGGAATCAGGGTGGCCGCCCGACGAACTTTGACGCACACGCTCGGCCGAACAGAATCTACGTCGTAGACGTGTGTAGCGTTCTCACGAGTTTTCGAGCGATCTTCTAGAATGGCAAGGAGGAACGAACGACTTGGCTCGTTCCCGAGGCTACGACGCGACAGAAACATCGGGACGGAGCGAGTCGACGAACGAGCTCGAGTTTACACGACGTACCGACGACTCGTCTTTCTGTCCGTCGTCTGCCTTAATTAAATCTCTCGACCCTTCCTTCCTTCCTGCGAAGAACTCGCGCGGATTCTGGCTAGAAGTAGAACTGTCCCTTCCTACCCTCGCTCTACTCCCTGTCGTAACGCGTCAGCATCGCGAGATTTTTCCTGCTAATTGTTACGAATGTCTGCACGAACACTGTCGACTAACTCGATGAGAGCTCGCACTTTTGTCCAATTTTGTTCTGACGATTAACGTTGAAATAAAATTGAACTAGGAAATAAAAGCAGGGAATCATGATAGATCAGTACCGTCCCGCGTGATTTACTTGTCCTAGATAGAAACGTCACGACTTATGAAACATTTTCTCCAAGTAGAACAAAGGAAATAATTTTGTTCCGGTCAGTGTGAAGTTCGAGTTTCATCATTCTACAACAGCCGACGGAATGTCAGCTACGATTATTGTGCGGCAGAGAGCTATCAAGCAGCCTTACATAATGGCCGATTGATCGGGCACGGATAGCGTCTTTTCTAAGTTCGCGACCTCTTCGAGAGACTGTGAATGCGGTGAGCATTTTCATGGCTGTAGGTGCCGTTATTCGGTCCGGTAACGAACGTCAAGGGCGACCTCGACGAGGCCGGAAGAGATCTCATTGTCCAGAAGCGGAGACCGCGATAGGGAGGGTTGCGCACCGCCGGCAACCAGCCAACTCAAACTTTGATATGGTTTCCTAAATAACCAAGGCGACCAATACCGCAGCACGATAGTCCTCTCTCTTTCCAGCGTGCACGGTTCCGCCACCCCCGTCCACCCCCCTGCGCCACCCTCGACCGTTTCTGCATCCACTTCGCCCGATCTATGGCGCTCGGTCCAGGGTGGGTATCGTAACTACTGTCGAAGCATATTGAAACCCTCCTACCAACGATGACCTGGCTCGACCCCTTCTTCACCGCCGCGTCTCTGCATGCCACGAAACCACCGACGCACACCTTCGCCGCCAGCGTGCGTTTGTCGTTTCGCGTGCAAAGGTTGCGCAAAACGTAGTATTACGATTGACCGCAGAGCAGAACGGTTCTCTCTCTCTCTCTCTTTCTCTATAACAGAACCAACGCGGTTTAACAATTTGAAACCGGAGTGACAGGCAATCTGGAAGGTGGAGAGCAGCTAAGAACAGCGGCGAGAAAGTGCGACGAGGGACACGCGTAATGACTGGCGATTTATCCGCGCGCGAACGAGCTAAGAATTTGAAATTAAAATTTGCAATCACAATTGTTCCCAGAGAGAAAAGAAGTTGAATTTGGATCGAGCTGCGACAGGTTGCATGATAATGAATGAAACGTTTTTTGGAATTCACAATTTTTCGTCGTGATAACGACCATCGAAGGATCGTACCTTTTTTTTATTAAGAATAGAGATCAGAGCTCAAATTCTTTGATCGTTCGTTATTCTCTGATGGACGAACGCGCGTAATAACGATCGCGAACGAATTCACGCGCACAGAGTTTAGAATATCTTTTCCCGAGAGCAGACGGGGGCGGATACGGGGCAGGCGGCACGACTGTATCTAGAGGTTAACTGTTTGTCCGCTAATTAGAAGCTAACAGCAGAACTAAAGTTCGAAACTTTAAAGTTTCTTGCTTCTGCAGAAGCCTCTACGCCCAGCCTGCCGGTACCCCCTTCTGGGGGCGATGCAGACACCCTAGAGGCGAACGCCCTATCGTCCTTCCGATTCTTCTTCTCTTTCCCTCCTCCATCCGCGACCGGCTAGCGTTAATTACTAATTAATTGTTTCGCATGTTTGAGTTTTAAATGGATAAGTTAAACAGTGCATAAGAGGCCTAGACGTTGAGGACGTCGGGTATACGTTTGCCCTTCTCCCTCTCACTCCCTTCCTCTCGTACCCTGTCTCCCTTTTTCCCTTCGCGTACGATTACCGTGCAAACGGTGTACCTACGGTTAACAAAGTTAGGATGACCGCGCAAGCGAGAACCAGCGAACCACACTCGTTCGTTTATTCGTTTTACACCTCGTCATCGAAACAGCGCAAGCTCGAGTGAGCACAAGTAACTTCCAGGTGTGAAACTTTCCTGATATAATGGATGAGCTCGGTGATTAGCCGCGGTAATTAAGTTCATTAACGATTAGATTGTTTAAGGAACGATTCGTTACTAAGTAAGACATAAGATTTCAAATAATCAGATTCGTAAATATAAATCATTTTTATTAAGATAACAGCTGTCTCACTTAATTGTTACAAAAATATTTCCTGAGTTGCAAGCACAGAAATCACAGTCTAATTAAAAGTCCCATTTCCCAAAATAGGTATCCTCGGTGTTTCTGGGTCAGGTTTAGAAATCGTTTTGCATCGATTTTCCGACAGAGATAGGTAGGACAAGGCAGTTTCACCCTTCGGAAATCGGAACGAGACCTCCCACGGCTGTAATCGGTGTTCAAATAAAAAGCCGTAATGCCAAGATAAAACATCCCATTTGTCTAACGACAATTTTTCTCGCGGCTGTGAGCGGTGTACAATTTCTTCCGGTAGGGGCGGTTGAACAGGGGCAGTAATCATCTTAAACACCATCGTCACAGACATCTCGTACAGGCTGGCTGCCACTCTCCGTGCCACGCCACCTGATTCTTTGGTAATTGAGATGG